AATAAAATAAAGTAGTTCCCCTCCAAGAAAGAAAGAAAGAAAGAAAGAAAGAAAGAAAGAAAGAAAGAAAGAAAGAAAGAAAGAAAGAAAGAAGAAAAACCCCTCCCTCCGTGGCTGCAGGAGAAATGCTGAGAGCAGGAGGCTTGGAAACCCATAGCGCCCTTCCCTGCCGCCTGCCAGCCGCCCTCCCGAGCTGCTGCGAGCTGGAGCTGCAGCAGAAGCTATAAAAAGCACAGCCCTTCAACAATAGGTGACATCACCCAGCAGCAGAAAGAACTGGATTCTGCCAGATGCCAGAGAGTTACGGCCCCCACCCCTCCCTCATGACAGAAGCCCTTGGGAATGGGCTTGGGGTATGTTCCACTGGATCCAGGAGGGATGGTTTAGACGCCCAGGGACCTCCTCACACTCTGGGGGAGGGGATGCTAGGGGAGGGAACACTGATCCTCAGGGACATGGGGGATGGATTTCACTGGTGATTCTTGAAGGGATGGGGGATATGGGAAAGAAGCTGGAGGGTGGAGGGTAAAGGCTTGCTAGATCCCTTCAGTGTCCTCTGAATGTTTTGAGACAAGTAGAGGGCAGGGGAGGGGTGGGAGTGGGCACACAGGCAGACAAGGGCCAGACCCGCTGTGAGCAGCTTCTCTCTGGGCACCTTCGGGCTGGTTCCCTCCCCAGCCCTGGTGTGCAGCACAGTGCCTGGCCTCTTAACTCTGGTTCTGGATGTCGTTTCTGATGTGCAGTAAGTTGACCATTTGGGCTGGAGTGGGCGGAGGGAGGGTTTCTCAGAGGCCTGCCTTGAGGCGCTTGCCCTGGCAGACTGACAGGCCTCCTCCTTCACCCCGGGAGCTGCAGGCCCCACTGCCTGTCACCACGCCCTGCCAGGACCTGGTCCAGGTGCCCCACTTGGGCTTTGCACAGAGCGAACGCCGAGTGGTAAGTATGGAGCATTTGATGGATCTGAGCCCTTCATGACACTGAGCTTCAGCTTCTTCACCTCTAAAGCTACAGCTGTTGGTGAGGCGCTCAGAGTGCTGGCTGGGAGTCAGGGGACCTGGGTTCCGGGCCCTGCCCGGGGCACAGACTCCCCGTGCGACCTGGGCCACGGTGCTGCGCCTGGGCCTAGTGCGTCCTTCTCCGGGAGGGCCTGGGCCTCAGCCTCAGGGGCCTGTTGGCTCCAGGCCCAGATCCTTGGCCCTGAGGTTGGGGAGGGGCAGAGGCCTGCGGGACACTGTGGCACTCTGAGCTGCTGCTTCTGGGGCAGCTGGGCTGGCCACCAGAGCAGAGCTTACTTAGTTCCTCTCTGGTCTGGAGACTTACTCTCCTCTGTGGATCGGAGCCTGGGCCCGCCCCTGCCCTCTCTGTGCCCCCAACCCCGGTGTCTTTTCACCCCTCCCCTGGGGGCTCCCCTTCTCTCTGTGGAGCCACATTCCAGCACTTGTCCAGCTGGCTTGGGCCCCTCTCCTCCACAAAGCAGGTCCTGACCCTCCTGCTCCACGGAGTCCCCTCCCCTGCCACCCCCACCGCCTCCAGAGCATGTGGTGACTCCCGCACATAGCACGCCTGGTGTCCCGGCTTATGTTCAGATGGCACGAGAAGCACAGGCCTCACTTCAAAGTGCAGCTGTGCCCCCTGGCATCCCAAGCCTTATCTCTCTGCTCCCACCTCCCCTCTTGTCCCTCTCCCGCCCACTCCCTCCCCGGCCACCTCCCCAGCACTCCCGCCACACCAGGGACCTCCACCTTCCAAACACACACTCTTCTATGGTGTGAATGTTCATGTTGCCCTAAACCCCAAAGTTGATGTAATTAGGAGGTGAGGCCTCTGAAGAGTGATTAGGTCATGAGGGTGGAGCCCTCATGAATGGGATTAGTGCCTTAGGAAAGAGATTCTAGACAGATCCCTAGCCCCTTCTCTAGTGTGAGGACACAGTAAGACACCTGACCATGCTGGTACCCTGATCTCTGGCTTTCTGGCCTCCAGAACCATGAGTGATAAATTTATGTTGTTTCTAAGGCAGCCAGCCTGTGGTGTGTTGTCACACGGGCCTAAGCTGACTAAGGACACACCCCCTTCAGGCCTGTGCCTTCTGCCCTCCTCCTGGGCACCCTTAAACCTTCCGCTGCCCTCAAAGTCCTGCTTCTCCAGGGTCAGCTCTCTCTAACCCTCTCTGCCCTGCCTGCATCTTGGTCAAAATGAATCCCCCTCTCCTGCCTGGGCACACAGCCCCATATGACCTTCTGCGGCTGCAGTGACTTCATCTGCATTGCATCTCAGCGAGTGGGGGGTGATGCTGGAGTTTCCAGCGCAGGACTGAGACTAGCTCAGAACTGCTCTCATCCTCACAGCCACTGCCAAAGAGATGTATCATCATTGTTACCGATACAAAGAGGAGCAAAACTGATGCTCAGAGAGGGGAAGGGACATGCCCTTGGTCACCTGGCTGGTAAATGGTGAAGCTGAGATTCAACCCCAGATCAATCAGATTTCACGGCCAAGCTCGCTCTGAAGCCCAGCATCCAGGAGCATGGTGGGCACACGGTGGGAGGGAGCTCTTGGCTCGTGTGGCCAGGGCGTGTGCTTTTCTTGAACACAAGGCATGGAGGTCTGGTTCATTAGCCGGGGTCCTGGAGCATGTTGTACCTGATTCTCAGGTGATATAAAGTGCTGAGTGAAAGTCAGCACCACTGACCCCTGCCACCCTTGCCCTGATTCAGGCAGAAGTTTTCACCTGAGGTGGAGTCAGGATGGCCAGTGACCCGGAGAGCCCAGGCCTAACCTGTTCCCCCCCGTAGCAAGCTGGACCCTGCTCTCCTCTCTCCCAGCTGGCTCCCCTGGGCAGACCTGAGACACCCGGAGGGGCCTGAGGCTTCCCACAGGGCTCTGGATTCACATCATGATGAGACTTCGTAGAACAGGAAGGGCTTGGGACCACAAGCCCTCCTCACTTTCCTAATTGTGTGTCCTGTCCCCAACCCTCAGTTTGGGGGTGGCAGTGCCTGGCTCACAGGGTGGCCATGGGGGTTAAATGTGTGTAAAGTGTCTAGCTCAGTCTGGGTGAAGGAGCCCGGGATAAGGCAGCTCCGAGTTTCAGGGGTGTTTGCTCCCTGTTGGATGGTCAGGGTCGCTGAACACCTTAGCAGGCTCCGATGGAGCCGGCCGTAGTTGCTGGCACTCCTTGGCCTCCCTGTGCCTGGGAGAGAAGGATGGGCAGCCTCTCCGGCTGCCCTCTTTCCCAGTGAGCCCAGGCCTTACCCTCACTGACCACTGACCTCTCTAGCCCCCACGCCCTCCACTTGCCTCCATCTCCCGCCCAGGAAGGAACCAGTGACCTCGTTCTTCCCTGGCTTCCAGACCTGTTCTGGGCTCCATCACCTCGTGTCCATCCTCTGGCCTGCCTATGCTCTGACCCCTGGTCACTGTCCCCATTTAGCTAAACACAGTAACTGAACCTAATGGCCCATGTCACCACCAATTCTTGATTCTCTGCTCACGCGGGCCCTGCCCTCACTGCTGCTGCTCTCAGGAATCGTCTTGGGTTGACTTCGGGCTTTGACCTTCAGGAGCTGGTCAAGCCCTAAGTCAACACTCTCTTAGCCCCCTCCCCACTACTCCCTTTTAATAGGTACTGTGCCAGTCGACCTCTCCACCCCAACTTTATTAACCAATGGAGAATAATTACTGGGACTCTCTTTCTTTGGATAATCAATTAGGCGGGCTATATTCATTCCCTCACACATTTATCTTTCCATTCACCCGTCTATCCTTTTACCTTCATCCAATCATCTTCCCTTCCATTCATCTATCTATCCATTATCCATCTATTTAGCCATCTCTTTACCCAACAATGGAGTCATCCATTGAATAATTTATTCAGCAATCCACCCACCTAGTCATCCATCTATCCAGCCATGCATCTATCCAGGTGTCCGTCCATCCATCCAACCATCTATCCCATGCAATACCTAATAAGCATTTACTTAAATAGTAGGCTTTGTGCTAGATGCTTGGGATTCAGAACCTCTGCTCTCAGGAGCTCATGGTCCAGTCTGGAAACACAGGAGACATGAGTTTGAAGTTCCTTCTATTTCCAATGTCCTGGGAGCCTATGTCCTCTACCCAGGCTATGCCAGTGCATGCTGGGTAGATGCTTGTGGCCTGATTGACAAGCTGACCTCCCTTCACCTGGGAACACCAGCGGCTCAGGAAGCTCAGCTGAAGGTCTGAAATCCCCTCTCACTTCTAAGCTGGTACATTGATGGTGTTCAAGGCCAGTGTGAGAAAAGACATAGGGCCCCCCTGCAGACACATGAAGGCTACTGCCACCACCTGACCCAACCCCGCCTGTAAAAATCAGCGGAGCTCAGGGGAGGGGTGGCCAGAAAACAACTTCGAATTTTACCTTCCCTGGATTCTTTACCTCCCCTCTCCAAATTCTTTCTGCCCCTTTCTCCTTTCCACCTCCATCTCTCCTACTTGTTCTCTCTCTCTCTCTTCCCATTAAGGGGCGGGACTCACAGCGTTCAAGTACTGGGCTACCACTATGGGTCCTTGGACAAGTCATGGCAATTCTCAGGCCAGTGTCCTTCCCTAAAGCTGTGACTCCCAGGGGATAAAACCAGACGGTGCATTTGCCATGCCCGGCCTGCAGAAACAGGGGCTCTTTTCCTCAGGGCGCATCCATTCCCTTCCCTCTCCCTTTCCTCCTTGTCCACATTCTCTTGCCTGCCCTTCTCCTCTTGAAAGCACATACAGGTGTTGAATCACATGGTTCATCTTTTTGTTCCAATTCTCACCTATCAAATTAACGCCTCCAAGCAAAATCACTCTAATGGCACAAGATCTGTCAAACAGTCCATGGATTTGTTTTCTCAGACCTTTTCCTGACCCCCCATCCTGGGTCAGACGAAGGGCAAAGAAGGGAGAAGGAGGGGAGTTTAAGAAGGAAGCAGGGAGCAGTCCCAGGGGCCCACCCTCCTCGGGACACCCCTCCTGCTCACCGACGTGTCCTCCGAGCATGAGGCAATGATGTTGTCAATGAAGGGGTTCCACTTGATGTCCAGCACGTTCCCTTGGTGACCACAGACCTTGGGGTAGTTGGGTTCAATCCTGCCTGTCTGCCGAGAAGCGAGAGAGAAGGAGATTAGTTTGATGGCCCATAGCTGGCCCTGAAAGGAGAGCCTTTATTCTGGGCTTCTGAAATGTCTTATTTGACTCTGAGTTCCTGAGTCAGGCTGGACCAACGTGCCCTGTGGCTGTGTCCTCCCCAACACTGAATGGTGATGGGGGACGGGGAGGACACTGCTGGTCCACACGACGCCTTTGTGCAAATTGGCAAAAGTGCCTCTTCCTCAAGTAAAAACGTTTAAAGTTAAGATGTTACTGTCCACCCGAATGACGAAAGGCTGCCACCCTGGCAGGACATGCACCCAGACTCTCCTCAGGGCCCATACTCCCCATTGCCTCCAGGAGAGGTGCTGCCATCAGGTTTGGCTCAGGTGGAGACTCTCCTGCTGCTCCGGGAGACAGGGGAGAGGCCCAAGCCTCAGCGTCCGCCTAAACACTGTCATATACGTAAATTATTCTGCCTGCAGTGCGAATGGTGCTGCCCCCAGACATGGCAGGCTTCTTCGGTATACATCTTAAACACCTGTACACAGTGCCTTGTGGTTCAAATTGTAGTCTCTGGAGTCACACAGGCCTGAGTTTGAATCACAGCCCTTCCACCCTTCAGCTATGTGGCCTGGGGAAAGTCAATGAATTTCTCTTAGCCTTGGTTTCTTCATTTCTGAAATGCAGATAGCAACACTTACTTTTTAGCATGGTTGTAAAGATTAAATGAGCTAATGTGCTTAGCAAAGTGTGGAGAGTATCATCATAAAGATTGCTCAATATATGATAGTAGTTATTATTATTGTATAAGTTAGATAACACCTCCTCCAGGAAGTCTTCCCTGATCTTTCTCAATGAGTTAAGAGCTCCTCCTCTGTGCACTCAACAGCATTCTGGATTTCTCTCCATTTACAGCATCATCACATGGAGTTGCAGTCTGTTTCTATTTGTGAGCAACTGAGGACCAGGTGTGTGTCTTCCTTGTCTCTGAATCTCCAACTCTTAACAAGCCTGGCACATAGTAGGTGCTCAGTACATGACCTGATAGACATCCTATGAGAGGAATAGAGTCCACAAAAGATGGCACAAAGGATGTGCAGATGGAGGATACAGAAAGGGTAGGTCCATGCTTAGTGGCCATAAAGGTGGCAGGGAAGGGAAGGAAAATTGTAGGCAAAATCTGTGTCTCCAACCTTTTTAAGACTAGTTTTTTGGAGGGTTGGAGGAAATAGACAGAGTTTTTCTAATCACTGCCCATCTGCTAATGGTGGTTAGGTGTTCGGGGGCACCTCAGGCTGGTCATACCTCACCTTCCCTTAGGTGCCTGGACTGAAAAATGAGGAAGAGAACCAGTGTCTGCCAAGGCCGTGCCACATGTGCCCTATACATCAGCGGTGCTGTCCTGCCATAACCTCGCCGCCTCTCCTGCCCCCCGCTTCCTGCCTGCATCTCTATCAGCTCAGTTCCAGATCCTTTTTTTTTTTTTTTTTTTTTTTTTGGTGACACAGCAAAGACAGGATGGATAGAGGAAAAAGAACCCTAAGAGGCGACGGCAGTGGGATGGCGGCTGAGGAATGAGGCAGAGAAAGACAGAGAGGGAAAAAGCCTCCGAGGTTGCACTACAGAAAACTTTACTGAGGCTGGACATCATGGGAAGATTAGAGAAAGGAAGAAATGGATTTGGGGACAATGGCTATCAGTTAAGAATGGGATCCCCTTTGACATTACACGAGGGATGTAATTCAAATTGGAACGTCTTTTCCAATTACTTTCAGACTGTTGAAAAATGTTTCTTTAATTGAGACTTTGAGCAGAAACGGAGCCACATGTAGCCCTGGGATTTATTAGGGTTATACCTTATCTTCCTTACCTTATGACAACCCTATGCATTCAGCATGAGGAAGTTAAGGCCCAGAAAGGTTAAGCAACAAGGACAAGATTACCCAGCTCAAAGGGAAGTGCGGATTCTCACTTAGGGGTGAGCCTCGAAGCTGAGCCTTTTGGACCCCACTGCTCGGCCTTGGCCAGCTGTCCTCCTCCAGCTCTGACGTCCATGGGCAGACTGGCCCTGCGCTGCCTGCTTCCACAGTGCACTTCGCCTCTAACAGAGCCATTTCTGACATCGGATCCCTAAGGCTGCATTGGAATGATCCCTGAGCAAAGCTGTTTGCATTAAGCTTTTGGCACTCAGCCCAGGCCAGGCAAATCTGAGGGGCACTGAACCAGTCAATAGGTGACCATCAGCTAACAGCAGCTCTGGCCAGCAGCCTGTGGGCGATGCACTGGAGGGATCAGTGAAGCAACATCCCTGGAACCTATTCAGATTGGGGAGAGGTCAGAGCCCTGCACTGGGAAGGGAGTAAGTCTTTTGAAAACAGAGAATAATCCTGATGCAGTGAACATGTCTGGGTGGACGTCTCTTTATACGACGGCTGCATCCCCCAATGGGGTGGGTAATTATAAGCATCATGACTTAATCACATTGTTTACATGACTAGCGACCCCTGGGGTTTTGTAGTATACAACCTGGTTGGCCCTATGCAGCAGCCCTGAAGGGAAGGCTTTCAACCTGGCAGCTCTGGTTTTCCTGTTTTGTATAGAAGGATTTCACATAAAATGTTAGAAAGACAAACTATATTGCTAAGAGGAAAAGTTTGAAAACCAAAGTTCTATAAAGAATTAAACAAATTAAAAATACAATTATTAATTTCAGGAAAAACAGTTGTATCAGAAAGCTTATGCAACCCCAATGAATAATGATTTATATACAATATTTACATAGTTGTAATAATGGAAGTCCCGAATATTTATTTAAACAAGAGTTGTGCTTTAATATGCTAGGAGGACAGAGGTAGGGGGTATGCGCGCGTGCGTGTGCATGCATGTGTGTGTGTGCAGTAGTAAGAGCAGAGGCAGAGCTGGGAGAGGGCCAGATTACCATCTTCCATAGTAGGAAGTCAACAGACAATGTCTAAGACTTAAAAAATCAAGACATGGCAGTAAGAGCAGGCAATTAAGAAATATGAGGATAAGTACACACACATACACACACACACACACACACAAACCCAACTAAAAGCAACAAAAGCAGTCAGTCCCCTTTAGGGCATGGGAAATGAGGAGTGTAGTGAAGCGGGACAGGGATGGAGGGCAGAGGCTGTGGTGTGCTGGCAAATGTTTAACAGCTGTCTCGCCAGTAGGAAAGAGGCCTTGGTTTGCAGCATTTGCCCATCTGAGTGGTGTCACTATTCCCACAGTGGCTCATTTCATATTGTGGGGTGATATCACCAAAAGCAGAGTCAGAAGAGACTCACAGTAGCACGTGTTAGTTACATAATGTTTCTGCCATATAGATGCAATTGTCCCTTGGTATCCACAGGGAATTGGGTCCAGGGCTCCTGCAGATACCAAAATCCGCAGATGCTCAAGTGCCCTTATGTAAAATGGCATGGTATTTGCTTATAACACAACCACATCCTCCTGTATACTTTAAAGCATCTCTAGATTACTTACTTATAATACCTAATACAGTGTGACTGCTATGTAAATAGTTGTTATACTGCATTGTTTAGGGAACAAAGACAAGAAAAAGTCTATTTACGTTCAGCACACATGCCAACAACAGGTCTAACTACATAGTACACATCAGAAACACTGTAATTTTTTTCCAAATACTTTAGATCTGCTGTTGGTTGAATCTGTGGATGCAGAACCCCCTACTACCAGAGATCAACTGCGTGATAGATGTACGTAACTTCAAGAGCACAAACTATAGTAAAATAATTAGAAATAATGACTTTAATATGTAGTACATCTGTTTTTAATATAATTTATTTAATTGAAAGTTTGCATAATTTAATTTTTAATAATGGCTATATTTAACAACCAGTTTGCAAAACTCCCAAAATTTTAACAAGTTCTCACAAGCCAGCACAAGCCTACTCCAGCACATCACTCACTTATGGTACTGTAGGCCTTGTCGTCCTGTTAGACTTTATGAACTCTGTGTAATTATTACTTTGCTAGACAGAAAAATTAGAGCAAACAAGTAAAATGCATGTACCAGGTGTTCTAAAGGAAGCTTGTTTTGAATTTTTTTAAATGTGAACAATCCTCTCCCAGAACCTCCCCACCTCAAATGCCTTTGTTTTCTGCTCCAGTCTCTGTATGGCTTGTGACTAGAGACCAAATCCGGATCTGGTTCTTAACTGCTCCACAGGGCTACCTTCTCATACTTATACACGTACCAATAGCCACACCAACACTAACAGCTATTATTACTTTATTATATTAATATGATCAAAATTTAATGCTTATAACTCCATTTTATAACTGAGAAAACAGAGGTTTAACGAGTGGAGTCAAGGTTTTTCAATGTTTCATAACTTAGAATCACTGTTAAGATGGTCACCTCACAGAACAGTCCCAGTGGTAGGGTTCTCAGGGGTTCTGGGTCTCACCTGCCCACTTGTCCTTGAACCTCAAAGACAGCTTCAGCCTCAGCAGAGCTGGGGCAGAGTCCTCACTGCACAGGGTGGGGTGGGGAAGCCCGTTAAGTGGCACCTATAATCACCAGGGAGCTCTTCACACTGTTGGTGGACCATATCCTAAAGGCCTCAAAGGACAAAAGAAAATGACAAATCCAGTCCCTCTTCGGTGGGACAGACCTTCGATGTCAAATGCTGGATGGTAGCTGTTCCATCTCAAGGAGGAGCCCAGTGCTGGGGATCCGGTTGTATTTCACATACACCCTACCTGCCAAAGACAGAGTTGAAAGGGGCTGGACACACGCCCCTCTACGTGGTGAGAGGGAGTGTGCAGTAACCTGAAACCTTCCTCAGGTCCATTTGACAGGTTGTTAAAGACTTTTAAAAGTCTTTGACTAATAATTCCACTTTGGGAATTTATCCCTGAGAAATCAACAGAGCAACACACTGAGACATCCACTATTATCTTATTTATTATAGGGAAAATTTTTAATATGCCCAACAATGGGGCATCACCT